GACCAGTGGGTCTGAGGAGACATGAGTGGATCATTGGGTCTGAGAGACCCCAAGAACTTCCTTCAGGGACCAGTTCAAGAGCTAACTCCTTCAAGAGGCCTCTCCTAATAGCTAGTGCTTCAACTCTGAGATCACCTTGTGTTTATTTTGTACAATACCCTGTCTTTACTTTTCTAGGGCATCAGATCTGAGAATGAAAGATGCTCTGATCTGGAAAAGGCCTGGAAGGACATTCGGGTCAACCTGTCCCCAAATAGGAATCTCTTCTTTGATATTCCTGATAAGGGATCAAGCGGCCTCCACTTACAAGGACCTGCCTGCCTCCCAAAGAAGCCCAGGCCATTTGGGGGCAACCTTAATTTTAGGGAGTGTCTCTTTACATTGAGCTGAAATGTGTCCCTCTGTCCCTTCGACCTGACACCCACTCCTCTTTGCAACAAACTTCCTTATTGCTGTCCAGGATATCCCCATTCTCCCAGGCACCCAGTTTTATAATCAAAGCCATCCTCTACAGGTCATTCTCCCTCATTCCCCACCTCCAATTCGATGCCAAGGCTTGTTGCTCATTGCTCCACAACACCTCTCCTCTCTTTCTCTTTCTCTTTCTCTCCACTGACATTGGCTCCCTGACTAGTCCAGGCACCCATCACCCCTCACGTGGACTCTTGTAGTAACCTCCCAATCGGTCTCCGATCCATCTTCTGCAGAACTGTCAGATTTCGATCCCTCAGCGTAGGTCTAACAAAGTCATCCTTCTGTTCTAAAAGCTCCTGTGTCTCCCTATTGCCCATATGGATCAGATATGAATTCCTTCTCTAGGTATCTAAAGTCCTTGACTGGCTGGCCTCAGCCCCACTTTGTGGACAGCTCCCAAGTTTCTCTCCCTCATATGTTCTCCACTCAGGCCAAACTGGCCTCCATCTTCTTCCCTGCCCCCCACAACTTCCTATCCAGTCTGTCTGTCCTTCTCTGTGCCGAACACATTCCCCCTCCTCACCTCCACTTCTTGGAACCCCCAAAACCTCCTTCCAGGGCTGCCCCCTGATCTCCCCCAAATTGTTCACACCCCCTCTGGAAATCATGATTTTGTGCATATATATAGGAGTATTCTTCTAGTAGGATGTGAGCTCTTTGAGCGCAGAGACGATCTCATCACAATGTCTGTACGCTCACTGATTGGTTGCTACTTGAAAAATTGGTCCAATCTCTTGGCTCCGGGGCTTTTCCCTGACCATTCCCTTGGTCTGGAACGCTCTTAGCCCTCCCCTACTTTCCTGGCATCCCTGGCTTCCTGAAACTCCCAGCTAAAATTCCACCTTCTACAGGAAGCCCTCCCCAAGCCTCTTCATCCTAGAGCTTTCCCTCTGTTGATATTTCCTATTTATCTCATATACAATTTGTTCCTACGTAGTTGTTTGCATGTTCTCTCACCTATTCGACTGTGAGCTCCCTGAGGGCAGGCACTGACTATCTGTTGCCTGTCTTTGTCTAGGCAGGGTGTAGCACAGTGCCCGCTACACAGTAGGTGCTTAATAAATGCTTATTGACTGACTAAGCCTTCTTCCATAGGCCGGTCCTTTCCTGAATTGAAGCCAGTAATTATATGCCCCTCCCTAAGTCTTCTCGCCTCCAGGCTGAGCACCCTCCATTCCTCCAAATGCTCCTCACAGGATGTGGTTTTGAGTTCCTTCACCACCCTGGTCACGCATCTCTGGATGCTCCCTATTTTGTCATGTCCTTTCCCAAAAGTGGTACCCAGAATGCAGAGCAGTGCTCTCTGTGTGCCTGACTGCGGAAGAGGTCGGGGGAGGGGGGGCTGTGCCCTGTCCCTGTTCTGAACCCCGGCAGGCTCATTCACTCAGGGCTTACAGAAAGCCTGGGCCCAAGGGCCTTCCCTCAGCTCCTCTCTGGCTAACACACCAGAGAGGGTCCAGCCTCTGTCCACACCCCAGTTACTCAATGCAGAGACTTCTTTGAGGGCCACGACAAAGGTGATGGAGCTCTCATGTCCTAGAGCCATGAATGAAGGCTTCTGAGCGAGTCGGAGTATTCTGGTGCTGAGTACAGAAGAAAGAAGCTCATCTGTTCATTCAGGAAATCAGCTGGCGGCCAGCACCCACGCATCCTGCAGTCTGAGTAACAAGGCACTCTGCCTGGAAACCAAGGGGCTTGCCTGGAGGGGATCTCAGTGAAGCAGACACTCGGTAACACGGGCTGGGGGGTGGCCAGGCCTGTAGAAAGCTGGGAAGCCTGGGAAGAGCCCAGACACCCTCCTGTAACCCTCGCATCTGGCATGGGCCAAAGGCCGCACTGTCTCCTTCCTTCACCTGCCAGATAGGGGCCCAGCAAAATGCTGTGTGCATGAGGCTGGCTTTTTAATGTTTATGCGGTATATCTGACCCAGTGAGGCCCGGGCTGGCTCTATGCCATTTCACTATACCAATGTTTGGGCAGTGGCTCAAGGTTTGCGAAGTGCCTTACACGCATGATCTCTCTTGAGAGGAGACCCTTAACCAAGGCGCGGCAGCTTTTTAAGGCCCTACATGGCACAGTGGGTGCTGACCTCCATAGAGGGACTTTCCCCATTTGGGAGTTCACCATATGAATTAGATCCCAGGTCTGTCTCAGTCTCCCTGTCCCCAAGCTGTTGCACCCAGGTGGCCGCTGCCCAGACCCCTCCCACCAGGGTCCCAATTTGTTTCTAACTGGTTAAATGTCAATGTTTGGCTGTGGCCAGCCTTTTTTTTGTGTCTAAGGCTGGGGAGGAAGGACGAGTCCAGCCTGTCTGGCTCCGTCTCTCATCTGAGGGGTGCTGTTTACCAGATACAGTGTGGGCTGCAGACAGAGCTGGAAGGGACTTTAGCCAGGGCCAGGTTGGGGTTTGCTTTTCTGCATCAGGGACCCTCTGGAAATGTCTGGTAAGACCTAGGGACTCCTCATTAGAATCATGGTTTGAGGGGGCAGCTAGGTGGCGCAGTGGATAGAGCACCAGCGCTGGACTCAGGAGGACCTGAGTTCAAATCCAGCCTCAGACACACAACACTTACTAGCTGTGTGACCCTGGGCAAGTCACCTAACCTCATTGCCTAACCGCCCCCCCCCCCAAAAAAGAATCGTGGTTTGAAACTCATCAAATAAAATACTAGGATTTCAAAGAAAACCAATATTCATTGGACATGGATATCTGAAAATTACCAAAAAAAACAAGTTCACAGGCCCAGGGTGAGAAGGCCAAGTCCTTCATTTTTTGTTTGTTTGTTTTTTTTGTTTGTTTGTTTTAGGCAATTGGGGTTAAGTGACTTGCCCAGGGTCAGACAGCTAGTAAGTGTCAAGTGTTTGGTCCGAGGCAGGATTTGAACTCAGGTACTCCTGACTTCAGGGCCGGTGCTCTATCCACTGCGCCACCTAGCTGCCCTCAAGTCCCTCATTTTAGAGGTGAGCCATCAGGGTCCCCCAGAGAGGGAGGAGCCGGCCTGGGGCCAGAGCCCAGACCCTTCCCCTCCAGTGCAGCCAGGCCCTAGTTTTCTGTGATCAGATTCAGATCTTGACATGGGGCTGCTTCCCAAGGGATGCTGGCCTGGCCTCCAGGGTCGGTGGAGGAGGCAGTTCCGTGTCTGACCCTGGCCTCTTGGGCGGGCGTCTCCAGCCTGACCTGCCTCCCCCCCCCTCAGCTGCTTTACTCCTTGTGGTTTATCCCTTGCATCCAGCTTTCCTTCCTCTCTGACCTCTCCTGGATCAGTTCCTTGAACAATCTATGTACTTCCAGCCAGATTCCAGGGTCCCTTCTCTCCCTCCTTAGGATGCGGGAGAGAGGGATCCTGAAGCCCACCCCTCAAGGCCAAGAAGGAAATCTCCCCCTAAATGGGACTGGTCAATAGCTCCACATTCCCTTCTTTGCCAGGTTCTCAGCAGCTGCAGCTGATGGCAGAAAAGTCCCTCCCCCTTCAGTTTAAAGACCTAGAAATGAGCAGAGAAGACCTTGTCTCTAGGGCAGGCCTTCCCATCACTATGCTAGGCACTAACCACTGAGCAAAAGCTCTGTCTCACAGGAACAAGCAATAGCTGAAAAGCCAACCTCTCGACTAAGTCCAGGCTGCAGATCCATGGAATTCATCAGAGCTGAAAGAGCCATTTTGTTCATCTGCCCTCATTCTCTAGAGTACCAGAGCTGGAAGGAACCTTAGAAGTCAGAGCAGCCTACCACCTCATTGTACAGATGGGGAAACTGAGGCCAGCGAAGGGAGGTGACTTCCACAGCGTCACTGGAGTGTGTCAGAAGGGGCAGAGCTGGTGATTGGACTCCATATGCTCCAACCCCACCAAGCCACACTCTGACCCTATTGCTTCACAGATGGATAAACTGAGGCCCAGAGAGGGGCTACTGTACCTTGCTGAGATCACATGCTGAGTGGGAGCAGAGACTAAAATCCACATCTCTTCTCCCAGACCTGGGCTCTTGCCACTACTTTGCTGGTCAAAAACAGCTGATTTTTAATTTTCATTCAGATAAATTTGGGATGTGAATAACATCTGCTTCACAAAGGCTAGGCTAGACCCTCTGTCTGCCTCGTTTTCCTCAACTGTAAAATGGGGATGATAACAGCACCTACTCCATAGGGTTGTTGGGAGGATCCAGTGAGATAATATTGTGCCAGTGCCTGGCATATAGTAGGTGCTGTATAAATGCTTATTCCTTTCTCTTTCCCCCAACAGCAAGAAAAGTATCCTCAGGTCTTAAATGGACTTAGCCATGGGGCTCAGGCTTGATCAGCTGATGGAGTTCCTACTCATAGAAGGTTTCATAGCTTTGAACTGTCCTGACCTTTTTTTTTTGTGAGGCAATTGGGGTTAAGTGACTTGCCCAGAGTCACAAAGCTAGTGTTATGTGTCTGAGGCCAGATTTGAGCTCAGGTCCTCCTGACTCCAGGGCCAGTGCTCTATCCACCGTGCCACCTACTTGCCCCCTGTCCTGACTTTTGAATCTTGCCATCTGAAAGGCCTCAGCACACAAAGAGTTGGGGCTCCTCAGACTTGGCACTGCTAGTTGACCAGGCAGGTCACGCCTTCATGGAAAACTTGGTGGCAGAGGAGTTGTGTCCAACTGACCTCACGCTGTGTCCTTGCTGAATATCCTTTCCAGGCTACCACTAAATAAACTTCTTTGTTTATTAAATGGCCTGGTGGTGTCTCCTTTTGTTCCTGACCTCAGGCCTTGGATAGGTATGAGTCAGGCCGGGTCCGGAATGTGACCTTCAAGCTCATGAAGAAGGGATCTATCCAAGGAAACAGCAGGACGGACATGGTGGGCTGAGGCAAAATGCAAAAAGCAGGAGGGCAACAAAGTAGCGGGAAAGGAAACGTCCCCCCTAAATTGGAGGCTGGCTGCCCTGAGCTCAGGGTAATGGGGAGGTCCAGTCACGGGCTGACATCACCTCTTCTGGACGGACTTCATGTTGTCTCTCACTGCTAATAATCCACAGCACGTACGTATGTGAAGGCTTGCAAAGCCCCTGCATGGGCAATCTGGTTTGAGTAGGAGGCTCTCGCAGGATGTCCTCCCCCTCTCCAAACCCTCCTCATCCTTCACGATGGGTCGAGAGTCCTCACAAAGCTTTCTGCTGTCCTCTGGACTTCTATAGCACTTACCCTCTGAACCAAATAGTTTAACATTTCACAAAACTCCCACTTCTATGCCCCTGTTGTTTATGTGCTGGCCTTGGCTCCCCAACTAGAAAGGAAAGAGCCCGTGTCGTGCCTTCCTTATACTACCTGTCCCCCCACAAATGTCTTTCTAGGACAATGCTAAACAAATACCCCATAGCTTATTCAAATACTCCGAGTCATCTATGAGGCCACGCCAAACCCGCTGGGCTAGATTCCTTCATCAAGCTATGAGTATATGGTGAGGGAAGTGGGGGGTGGAGAGGACAGGAGGAAGACGCCAAACATTTGAACCTGTGCCAGGGGATCCCGGGCATCAGAGCGGGAGGTCATTTGACCCAATGCCCTTCTTACACATGAGGAAATTGGGACCCAGGGTGATTCAGGACAAGATCCTTCAGCTAAAGAGATGGGATTTGGAGTCACGAATTCTTTGAGTCCAAATCCAGGGTTCCTTTCCACCAGGATGCCCAGGGCAGGTGCAGGATGGAGGAAGGGTTGAGACCTGAGCAACAAATACAGAGCCTCTTGGCCCAGCCAAGTGAGGCACGTGGAACGCACCCTCTCGGGCAGCGTATGGGCACAGGTTTGGGTGGACCTCCTCTCCCCCACCCACCAACCCCACTCCATGATGGCTGCTGGGTGGCCCCAAACTCTACTGATATCTAAAGAAATTAAATTCCCCTCAATGCAGGTGGGCTTCTGTGGCCTAGCAACTTTCCCAGCTCCCAGAGGCTGAAATCCTCTGTCCAAAGCCCTCAACTGTGTAGGTTGGGGTGGGAGCAGTGGTGCCTGGAGAGGACCTCTCTAGCCCACTACTGAGTACAGGACACACTCTATTTAACTTGCTCCAAAAAATGCAAAGGATCAATTATTTTCTTCTTTGTTTGCCTTCTTCAAATGTGAGTTCTTCAAAGGCAGGAATGGCTTTGGCCTTTCTTTGTGTCCTTAGAACTTAGCACGGCAATTGGCATACAGTAAGCACATAATCAGTACTCATTGATTAGCTGAGTCCATAATTCATCCACATAACTGCCCTTCTCTTTTTACTGAGCCTCCTTTCACCTTTCCTAGAGATCTATGGGTCTTGTAGACCCATAGGACTACATTGAATGAGTCCCCACCCCTACCTTAGAGAAGGTAAAGAACACAACTTTGCTCTCAAGTTAAGCTACCCTCCACTCTGGTGAGCTGCATCTTTACCAGGGGCCTCCAGATTTATAGTACTCCCCTGGGTATTCCCCAACCTCTTTATAAAATATTAACACTCAAGGGTTCGAGAGAGTCAAAGAACCTACTCCTACGGAGTTCCCCATCTTTCCCAGGGGCCTCTACAATGCCTTGGACTTATAGCACCACCCTGGAACTCCTCAAGTGGGGAAAGAACCTTTGTTTGCTAGAGAGTGATCCCCTTGTCCTAAACCCTGCACAGTCCACAGAACTCACAGAACAGTTAAAGGCACAGACCAGGTTTGCTCCTCCTCCTTGCGGCCTTGTGCCTCATGATTTCTTGGCTCTAGCCTGCATCTTCTCTTGGACTGAATAGGGTGTCTGACTTGGTCCAGGACTCCCTTGTTACTTTTTTTCTTTTATACCCGGGATGCTTAACACAGTGTCTGGCACCAAGGAAGTACTTAAAAATATTTGTTAAGGAGCTCTGATAGTTCTGTTCCCTTGCTGTGGTTCACGGTCCTTCAGCTGTGGGATTGGTCAAGAAACTCCTCTGTCTGCTTCTGGGCTAGGAGGTTCGCTGGAGGACTTCATGACCTCTTACCACAAAACTGAATCCTTGCTTCTGCATGTAGACACTTTGTCTGAGCTTTCCCTCTTTAGATCCCCGGCCTTTGGAACCTAGAGGGGACCTTTTCCTCATTTCAGTTCAGACCAGGGTAGGAACATTGTCCACCACGCGGGACTGCAGTGTGTCTTACATTTTGCCTGAGGCACTATGGGTGGCTTCCACAACAGTCACCTTCTCAAAAGACCAAGGCCAGCAACATGGCTTGAGTTGGGGGTGGGCTATGAACCAGTGGATGGCCCTCATCAGCAGGCCAATGGCAGCCAGGCCACAAGCGGGGAGGTTTTGTGTGTGTGTGTGTGTGTGTGTGTGTGTGTGTGTGTGTGTGTGAATTCCCTGCTTTTTTGGGGAGACAGCAGAGGACAGTGCCTGGCACACTGTAGGTGCTTAATAAATGGTCGTTCCCTCTTCCCCTCCTTCCAAAAGAAAAAATAGTAGAAGAAACCTTCTTTTGCAGAGGTGGGGGAAGGGGGCACAGCTGTGGAAGATTGTATACATTGTTAGAGTGTTTAAAATGTATATCATATATATAAATTTTGCAGGTTTTTCCCTCTTTTCTTCCCTCTTTTTCCCTCTTTCCCTTGTACCTGTATCCCTCCCATATCTTTATCTTTCTCCCTAAAAAAACCTTTTTAATAAGAGATGGTTAATAATAATGAGGTGAGAAGAACGTGGGGGAAAGTCCATGTAAAACAAAACATATCAACAAAATTAATTTTTTTAAGAGCAAACGAAAGGGAGACAGCAGAGGCTTGAAGACAGCCTGCCTGGCAGGGCTCTCCAGCTGGACCTCGGCCTCCTTAGGCATCGGTCTGCCCCCGTCCCGGCTTCACTCAGACGCCCACGTCAGTTTCAGGGGGCCTGGAAGGCCCATCCCCCAATCCCCCAGCACTCAGCACGAGGTCCGGCGTCTAGGGGGCGCTTAATAGATGCTGGGGGATGGAGTGGCGGAGGGAAGACGGGAGGAAAGGGGGCGGAGCCTGAGGGCGGTGGGCTGGGCTCGAGGAGACGAGGTAGCTGGAGGCGTGGTCTGCGAGGACGCAGCGGAGCCGGGGCGAGGGGGCGGGGCTCCTGGGGGAAAGGGGAGGAGTCTGAGCATGCTCCCTTCCTCTCCGGGCTGCCGCGAGAAGGTGGCGGAAGTTGGGGGGCGGGATTGAGAGGCTGAGCCTACTCTGATTGGTTCAATATCCGGAAGTGATCCTGTTTCCTGGAGACGGCGCGTGGCGGCTGGTGCGTGTCCTATGTGGTCGCGGTGCCCCTGCCCGCGGTGCGGGTGCGGGAGGCCGACGCCCAGGAACCCTCTTGTCTGAGACCCGCTCGCGCGTGGGGCACCCCGGAAGCCCGAACCACCCACCTGTCCCGTGCCTCTGTTTCCCCCTCTGTAAAGAGGGAAGATCGGACTCGACGGCCTCCGAAGCCCCTCCCAGCCCCAGACCTAGTGTCCTCACTATGCCCCCCCCCCCCGTTAAACTTGTCCCGCGACCTTGGGCCAGCCCCTGTCTGCTTCTAGGGCTCAGTTTCCCCGTCTGTTAAAGGAGAAGGTTGGACTAGATGTCCCCCTTTCCCCCACCCCCATCCCTGATTCTGTGATCTGCTACTGAATTGCTGTGTGGCCTCGGGCAGGTGACGGTCCTTCTCTGGGCCTCGGTTTCCCCATCTGTTGAAGGAGGAGGTTGGTCTAGATGACCTCCAAGGTCTCTTTCTGGCTTCCAGACTCTCGGGGTTCCCTCACCCCAGTTTCTTCCTGTTTCTCACTCTGGACCCCCGATCCAGTGCCCTCTGCCTTAGCCTCTCCCACCCCCAGGGCCTTTGGGCACACCCTCAGGGTTTGTGTGAGGCCTTGGGCAGATCCCTTCCTCCTCCCAGGCCTCAGTTTCCTCATCTGTGAGTTGGGGCAGTTAGTTGATCTCCAGTTCCTTCTGGCTCCGCCTGGGAGAGTTAGGAGAGAGAGTTGAGGTTCTGCTGCCAGGGGGTGGCCTCTGAGCCGGGCCTGCCTCCCCGGGGGGCTCCTCTCTTCCAGGGCCTGGCTCCGGGCTTCCAGGATGTTTGTCCTGGTGGAGATGGTGGACACGGTGCGGATTCCGCCGTGGCAGTTTGAGAGGAAGCTCAACGATTCCATCGCCGAGGAGCTCAACAAGAAGCTGGCCAATAAGGTGAGGCCTGGGGGCCAGACGAGAGCGGCTCCATCCGTGGGCTGGGCAGGTGGTCCTCTGGTCCCTGGGGCCTGTGTTCCCCGGCCTGGCACATAGAGGTGCTTATCACTTCTTGTGGAACGGTGGTGAGGTGGGGCTGTCACTCCCACTTAAGATAGAGGCGGGGGCACTGGACAGTGCCCAGCAGGCCATCGAGACCGTCTCCCTCATTCCAGAGGGAGAGGGTACCTGACTGTTGCCTTTATCACCTGGGCCCGTTCCTGGGGAGGCCTCGGAGCCCCCTCGGCCCCAGCACAGGTGCGGCCTCATAGGGTGACTTTGCCTTCCCATTCCCCGGCCCAGCCTGGTGCCCACCTTGGCCTGATCCTCCTGTCTGGGGTCCTCTTGGGCGAGCGTCTCATTAGTCTTGTCAGTGACTGACTGAGGGCCCAGCAAAGCCAGCCCACCCAGGCGGGCAGGACAGTCTCAGATGGGTATGGCCGAGGACCCGAGGGCGTAAGGACACACGAGACCTGTGGGTGAGTCAGCGTCTCTCCACAGGTCGTGTACAACGTTGGGCTTTGCATCTGCCTGTATGACATCACCAAGTTAGAGGACGCCTACGTGTTCCCAGGGGATGGTGCGTCCCATACCAAAGGTGGGCATCCCCATTCCCCTCTACACTGAGCTGAGAGTTGGCAGAGATCTCAGAGGTCTTGAGACTTTTGGCCAGGGCCACATGGGGCAGCAGTCTACCCACTGAGCCTTTGCCCTAGGCTGGGGCCATGACCTGAAGCGGCTCCCTCTCCTCTGGGACACCCCCGATTGTTGGGGAGCCCCGACTGCCCTACCATGACCTCCACCCTGGGCACTTGGTGCTGTTTCTGGAGCTGTGTCCAAAGGATGGCCCGTGGGGTGTTGGAGGCAGCCCTTGGAAGCATGGTGGGAAAGGCCTGGGTCTGAGGCCTGGCTCTGCCACTGAGGAGCTGGGTCCCTTTTCACCTCCCCCACCCCCTGGGCCTCAATATCTTCCTCTGTAAAAGGAAGACTTGGACTCAGGCATCTCTAAGCTTTTCTCTGGCTTTGGTCCAGGCTCACGGGCCCCCATGTCTTGCCCTGAGCTCGAGTTTCCTTTGGCTGACCCTTGGCGTCTCCTCCTGCTCACCTTCCTTTGGACGTGCCCCAGCTGGGCAGGGTGATGGTCAGAAGTGGGCCCCAGGCTGCAGGCGTGCTCTGCCTAGGGCACCCTGCTGTGCCCCCTCCCCTGCCGGCCCCCTCTTAAGAGACTGTGTTACACACACACACACACACACACACACACACACACCCCCACTCTCATTCTATAAAGAAAGTTGGTAACAAAACCAAGACATGCGTAAGCCTGACCAACAACATATGCAGTGTTCCACACCCATTGTCCCCCACATTTCCAGGTGAAGGAGAGGGCTAGTTTTCCTTCTCTTTTCCAGGCTTCGTGCCTTTCCCCAGGGACAGCCCTTATTGAGCCTTAGCTCTAGCTAGAACTAACGCAGGGACTTCTTTATTTTTTTTTTAATTTTTAATTAATTTATTTTGATTTATCAATCACTTCCATAAGCTTTTGAGTTTTAAATTTTTCTCCCCTTCCCTTCCCACCTCCCTCCCTAAGACAGTGAGCAATCTGATATAGGCTATACATTTACATTCCTATTAAACGTATTTTCACATTAGTGATGTCTTAAGTAAAAATTAGAACCAATAGGAGGAACCACCAGAAAGAGGAAACAAAACACAAGAAAAAAAATAGCAAATAGTCTGCTTCGATCTGCATTCAGACTCCATAGTTCTTTCTCTGGATGTGGATGGCATTTTCTATCATGAAACCTTTGGAAATGTTTTAGATCCTTGTATTGCTGAGAAGGGCTAAGTCTATCAATGTTAGTCATCGCACAACGTGGCTGTTACTGTGTACAGCGTTTTCCTGGTTCTGTTCACTTCACTCAGCATCAGTCCATGAAAGTCTTTCCAGGTTTTTCTGAAGTCTGCCTGTTCATCATTTTTTATAGCACAGTAGTATTCCATCACATTCATATACCACAGCTTATTCAGCCATTCCCCAATGGATGAGCATCCCCTCAATTTCCAATTCTTTGCTACCACAAAAAGAGCTGCTGTAAATATTTTTGTACATGTGGGTTCTTTTCCCATTTGTATGATGTCTTTGGGATATAGCCCTAGAAGTGTTGTTGCTGGGTCAAAGGGTATGCACATTTTTATAGCCCTTTGGGCATAGTTCCAAATTGCTCTCCAGAATGATTGGATCGTTTCACAACTCCACCAACAATGCATTAGTGTTCCAATTTTCCCACATCTTCTCCAACATTTATAATTTTCCTGCTTTGTCATGTTGGCCAATCTGATAGGTGTGATGTGGTACCTCAGAGTTGTTTTGACTTGCATTTCTCTAATCAATAGTGATTTAGAGCATTTTTTCGTATGACTATAGATGGCTTTAATTTCTTCATCTGAGAACTGCCTGTTCATATCCTTTGACCATTTATCAATTGGGAAATGACTTGTATTCTTATAAATTTGACTTAATTCTCTATATATTTTAGAAATGAGGCCCTTATCAGAGAGACTGGTTGTAAAAATTCTTTCCCAATTTTCTACCTTCCTTCTAATCTTGGTTGCATTGGCTTTGTTTGTGCAAAAACTTTTCAGTTTTATGTAATCAAAATTAGCCATTTTGCTTTTCGTAACGTTCTCTGTCTCCTGTTTGGTCATGAATTCTTCTGTTCTCCATAAATCTAATAGGTAAACTATTCCTTGCTCTCCCAGTTTGCTTGCAGTATCAGCCTTTATATCCAAATCATGAACCCATTTTGACTTTATTTTGGTTTATGGTGTGAGATTTTGGTCTATGCCTAGTTTCTGTCATACTTTTTTCCAGTTTTCCCAGCAGTTTTTGTTAAATAGTGAGTTATTATCCCAGAAGCTGGGGTCTTTGGGTTTCTCAAATAATAGATTACTATAGTCATTGACTACTATGTCTTGCATGCTTAACCCATTCCACCGATCCACCACTCTGTTTCTTAGCCAGTGCCAAGCAGTTTTGATGATTGCTGCTTTATAATACAGTACATATAATACAGTTTAAGATCTGGAATGGCTAGGCCACCTTCCTCTGCATTTCTTTTCATTAGTTCTCTTGATATTCTGGACCTTTTGTTATTACAAATGAATCTTGTTATTATTTTTTCTAACTCTAGAAAATAATTTTTGGTAGTTTGATTGGTATGGCACTGGATAAGTAAATTAGCTTAGGTAGAATTGTCATTTTTATTATATTAGCTCAGCCTACCCATGAGCAACTGATATTTTTCCAGTTATTTAGATCTGACTTTATTTGTGTGGAAAGTGTTTTATAATTGTGTTCATAGAGTTCCTGGGTTTGTTTCAGTAGGTAGACTCCTAAATATTTTATAATGTGACTTTAAATGGAATTTCTCTTCCTATCTCTTGCTGTTGGGCTTTGTTGGTAATACATAGAAATGCCAATGATTTATATGGGTTTATTTTATAGCCTGCAACTTTGCTAAAGTTATTTATTATTTCAAGTAGTTTTTTACTTGATTCTCTAGGATTCTGTAAGTATGTCATCATATCATCTGCAAAGAATGATAGCTTTGTTTCTTCAATGTCTTTTTCTTCTCTTACTGCTTTTTTTTTTAACATCCATTTTTTTGGGGGGGGGTTGGGCAATGGGGGTTAAGTGACTTGCCCAGAGTCACACAGCTAGTAAGTGTTATGTGTCTGAGGCTGGATTTGAACTCAGGTCCTCCTGAATTCAGGGCCCGTGCTATATCCACTGCGCCACCTAGCTCTTACTGCTAAAGCTAACATTTCCAGTACGATATTGAACAACAATGGTGATAATGGACATCCTTGTTTCACCCCAGATCTTATTGGAAATGCTTCTAGCTTGTCCCCATTACATATGATGCTTGCTGAAGGTTTTAGGTAGATGCTGTTTATTATTTTAAGGAAGACTCCATTTATTCCTATGCTCTCTAGTGTTTTTAATAGGAATGGGTGTTGTATTTTGTCAAAAGCTTTTTCTGCATCTATTGAGATGATCACGTGGCTTCTGTTAGTTTTGGTGTTGATATGATCAATTATGCTGATAGTTTTCCTAATATTGAACCAGCCCACGTAGAGACTTCTGAGAGCCTTAGGAGAGGGTTTCTTTCTCTCTCAGCTGGCGGCTGCTGTCTTCCTCCTTCACTCTGCTCAGACAGATTTCTGGCCTCCTTCTTGCTCTGGGGCACTGAATTACCCTGCTACACTGGCCAGGGTGACCTCCCTAAGGGAAAAAGGAGGAACTCAGGCTGGGAAAAGAGTTTGCATTTTCAAAATACCCGCATTCAAGGTCTCTGCAAAAAGCCAGCCCAGGATCTGAGCCTGGGAGCTGAGGCCACACTGTGTGCTCCCCGCACGTGGGCCTGGGCCTGGTCCAGGCAGTGGGAGGCTCCTTGGCCAGTCAGTCTTCTAGGGAACAGATTGGGGGGGCACAGTTGTCCTTAGGGAAGGGCAGGCTCCTTCCTTGGTCCCTCCTGGACCCCTGGACACAGCATCATTAGGCCCCCAGCACCTCCGGTATGAGCCTCGAGTATGAGCGAGAAAGTGGCAGAAGCCAATTAGTCCAACCCCAGCATTTTACAGCTAAGGAAACTGAGGCCCAGAGAAGGGCAGGGAGGTGCGGTCACGGGCAGAGTGGGCACGAGGAGCTGCTGATTCTCTCCACTCTCGCCAGCTGCCTCTGGGCAACTGGTCACCAAGGTCACCTTGGTGAAAGGAAAGGCTTGGACCACACGCTTCCTCCGAGCTCCTCAGCAGAGAGCAGGGATCTGGGATCCGACACGTTGGTTTATTTGGGGAGCACTAATCCTTTAGTCACTAGTGCTTTGATTTCTATGGTGCCTTCCTCTTTTGGAGGATTCCTGGACAGTCCCACCCCCTGGACCTGTGCTTTGGGGTTCACCTCCCCCTGACCTCTGCTTTGGGGGCCACCTCCCCCTTTGCCGCTGCCAGAGGCCCTTTGAGCAGCAGGGCAGGCTTTGGACGCCTCGTGTTCTCCCTGCCCTCCAAATTCCCAGGGCTGGGAGGTGGATGAGTTTTCCACCTTGTGAGTGAATGACCTCTTTGTCCCCTCCTTCCCAAGCTCTGCATCTCCTCAGCTCCCCCCCCTCCCCGCAACGCAGGCCTTGCCATCGTGGTTAATGATGAGGGTCTCCCCCAGCTCAGTGGCCGTGGTGACCTTGCCTGCCCCCCATCCGCCACCTCCTGAGCTGCCCTGCAGAATTCTCCCTCCGTCTGCCAGTAAGCAAGGGTGTTGAGTGCATCTTTTTAAAAACATTTTTATTCATAGCTTTCTTTTTAACCTCCATTTCTGAATATGTTTTCTCCCTTCTAAAGAGCCATTGCTAATAACAAAGAACTAAGAGGGAAAAAAGGCAGTCCAGCAAAACTCACGTTAACTTTGTCTGACAGCATATGCGGGGTTCCGCACCCGTGGTCCCCTGCCTCTGCTCAGAAGGGGGAGTCTCACTTGGGCTACGCTCAGGTCTGTTTGGTTGTGGCTTTTCCCTTCATGTGGCTGGAGTCACTGGGCCCACGTCTTCAGCTTTTGTCACATCAGTCTATCCTGTGCAGACTGAACACCCTGGGTCTCGGGTTCTGGGAGCTGCTAAGGGAAGCGTGAGGGGCACTGGCTCCCCAGGACAGAGACCAAGGGGGTCCTTTCCTCCACCCTGCCCTCCATGCCAATGGCAGGCCTTCTCGGGCCTCCCTTTTCAGGTCAGAGCTGTGCCTTAGGCACACTGGCCAATCAGTCTAAAGGAAGGAATTTTTTTTTTTTTAACCTAAATTCCTCTTGAGCTGATTCTGCCCTTTCCAGACTCTAAAGGAGACGGGCCTTCGAGGAAGGTCAAACTTGACTTTGGTGCAGAGGGTCCCAGTGGGGACTGTGGCCTCCTCCGAGTGACCTCCGTGCCTCCAGCACTGTAGGCAGCTTGAGAGGGGACCTTCAAGGTCACCTGACACCTGACGGGCTGTGAGGAGGGTTCCAGAGTGATTGGCTGGGAGAGGGTGGCATTCTGGGGAACTCCATTTCCAATCAAAATGGCTTCTGATTCAGTAAAAGGAAGAACTTACTTGTGTTCAGAATGTGTTCTGAAAATGCACCTGACTGCCTCATCAGGGCCTGAGCTCCTGGCACTTAAGGCGTTCGTGCAAAGACTACGTGACCATTTGTTGGGTATATTGTCGAAGGGCCTTGGGTTGCTGGAAGAGATGGGCGATCAGGGGTTCTTGATCTGGGTCCCATTAACTGGTTTCTGCAGTATTTTAGCTGTATTTCCATATAGTTGGTCTCCCTTGTCCTTCCGCTCTTATCTTGTGCATTTAAACTTTATTCTGGGAAGGTGTCACAGCCTCTCCAAGCCTGGCCAAGCAGGGCCAAGACCCAAGAGGGTCATAGGTGGCCCTCCTCTAAGATCTGAGGGGCCTCCTTGACCATTTGTCTCACACGTGGCCTCGCCCTTACCTGGGCACCTTGAATGACAGGGAGCAACTCATCCCACTTGAGTGGGGACTTCCTTCTTTGAGCTGAATCTGCCTCCTAGGTTGGCACCAAGGATGATAAATCTAATCCTTTTTCCCGGTGAGGACTTTCTCGGCTTCTCCAAGCATCCAGGTTCTGTGGAGCGTGGCCCTTGGGCCCAGGGGGAGCAGGAGGGTGGCCCTGCTGCCATGCCCGAGGCCCATGGCTCGTGGCTGTTTCCCTTCAGTGGATTATGGAGACTGGACTAGGCTGGACAGAGATGTGTCTGAGACGCCTGGAAATCAGAGCAGTCCAGAAGTGAGACAGCCTGGCACCTAGTCCCCGTCCCAGAGGTCTTCAGTGGTCAGGGCTCTTGGCAGAGGGAACTCTTGTGTCCCTGTCAGCTGATGCTCTCTGAGGTGTCTTCTGGCCCTGACATTGTGAGACATTGTGATTCTTGGTCAGTCTGGAGTCTGCATCTAATGTGGTCAGGGATTCTCTTCCTGTGGGATTTAGGCCGGGGACTGGAAGCCTCCGCCAGGGCCCTGCTGTGGAAGACCCTTAGCTGTGGGGCAGCGGTTTGTCCTTTGTCATGTCAGCCAGGGATCAACAGATAGAGAGATGGCAGGAAGGAAGGACAGATCGACAGATGGATGGATGAGAGGAGGGAGGGAGAGATTGACAGATGGATGGACGGGAGGAGGGAGGGACGGATCGAGATGGACAGACACGGAGGGAGGGACAGATGGATGAGAGGAGGGAGGGATGGATCGAGATGGACAGACACGGAGGGAGGGACAGATTGACGGATGGACGGGAGGAGAGAGAGATTGACAGATGGATGGACGGGAGGAGGGAGGGAGGGACGGATCGAGATGGACAGACCCGGAGGGAGGGACAGATTGACAGATGGAAGGAGGGAGGGACAGAATGCTTTGGAGCCTGGGGCAAGGCTCACTTTGCTTCTTTTCAGTCCATTTCCGCTATGTGGTCTTCCACCCTTTCTTGGACGAGATCCTCATTGGCGTGATCAAAGGCTGCAGCCCAGATGGGGTTCATGGTAAGGGGCTCCTTGGGCCACCTGGCAGAGTTGTCTTGTAGGAAGAGCTCCAGCGGGGAGGTCGTGGGTGGGCCAGACCAGTGATTATGGCTGGCACTTGCCATGGACTGATCCTGAAAAGCTGGCTGTGAATCAGATGTATGAGGGTGAGTCTTATCTGTGCCAGGGTACTGGCCAGAGGCTGGTAGGGGGGAGGCCTTCCATAAAGCGGGGACCTTGAGGCAGACTTGAGGTAGACTGGTGAGGTTTGTGCCAGGGCTGTGGGCAGGTGGGCACTGCAGGGCAAAGTTCCTACCCCATGGGGGGTGGAGAGGGCCTGCTTCTTAGTACAGGGGCGGCCCAGGTCTGTGGTCCCAGGCCAGTGGCGGCAGAGGGGATGGTCCAGGCCGGCTGGGCTGGTGGGACCGCTTTCTGCAGGCCCAGGGAGACTTCTCGTGAGGGTCTGGGATGTCTGCTGGGCACTCAGAGGCCTTTCCTTATCAGTCATACAAGTTAAATTCCTTTCAGTCTCTCTAGGGTTCTTTGACGACATCCTCATTCCCCCAGAATCCTTGCAGCAGCCGGCCAAGTTGCATCCTTCCTGCTGTGGGTGGGAGCCAGGGCTGCCACCAGGGGGCAGCACGGCCACGGGGATTCTGGGGCCCCCAGGGCTGGCAGGAACGGGAGCTCATTCCACCTGCTTTCTGGGTGGGCCCTCTTGCTCCGCGTTGGCTTGGGGGCCACATGAGAAGGGGCTCTGGTGTGATCCAGGAGGTCATGGCTGGAACCCACACCAGCAGCTCTGCCATTGAGCCCCGGACCAGGAGCTGGGTCCCCTCCCCTTGTGGTGCTGGCTGGGCCTCCCACAAAGCTTGACTGCCCAGGAGCAGCACTTCTCTGGGGGATGCCCTGTTCTGCCACTACCTGACCTCAATGAGCTTGGGCAGCTCAGGCACCTCCCCGGCTCAGTTTCCTCACCTGTAAATGAGGGGTTTGGTGGGGCAGCTAGGTGGCGCAGGGGATAGAGCACTGGCCCAGGAGTCATGGAACATTCACTAGCTGTGTGACTCCAGGCAAGTCACTTAACCCCAATTGCCTCATTAAAAAAATTATCTGATAAATGAGGGGTTTGGATGGAGGTGACCTCCAGCCTTTTCTTCAGCTCTGACATTGACTGACTCCCGAGGTCTCACTTGTGCATTTTGGGGGAGGACTTTGACGCTGGGCCCAGGCCCCCTAGAAGGCTGCAGGCCCCGATCCTTCAGCCTGGGCACCAGCTTGCCTCGGTAAGAGGAGGGGCTTGGGGCTGTAGACCTGCTTCCTGCTGATTGAGTACCTTAACCCTTGAACCTGACCAGCGATGAGGCCGAGCAGGTGTGGGTTTGGGAATATGAGACGGAAGAAGGAGCCCATGACCTGTACATGGACACCGGTGAGGAGATCCGCTTCCGGGTGGTGGATGAGAGCTTTGTTGACACGTCCCCGACAGGCCCCAGTTCTGCCGAGGCTTCGACCTCCAGTGAAGAGGCTCCCAAGAAAGAGGCCCCTTACACCCTCGTGGTAAGAGGTTGCCAGGCCCCAGGAGCAGCTCGTGGGCCGTGGGTTGGGGAGGGGGCCCTCGGGAAATGCCAAGAGCCACCAGCCACGTGCCAGCACACACAAGGTCAGGAGACCCCTCCTTCCTCAAGGGAGGGGCCGGTTGTCATTCACCGCATGCTAACAGGAAGGAAGTGATTAGGTCCAGAAGAGAATGACGTTGGCTCTTGTCTCCTTCCCCAACATGGTGGGGCCAAGCTCATTCACATGTGAGAAAAGTGGCTGCTCTGAAAGGGCCCTAGAATGAGATTCCAGTCATGTACGCCTGGGGGGCCTGGGTATCCCTGGGAATCATGGGCATCTTTGGCCCTCTCTGTGGGGGTGTGGGGGAAGGGCGATGGGAACAGCCGGAGCAGGGCAAGCACAAGGTGGTAGAAGCTCCAGAGCCCTGGTGTTTTGTGACTCCCTTACTGCCTAGCCAGCGAGGCCCATCGAGGCCCGCAGGCTGCCTAGGGTCCACCATGCACACCACCCATCTCGTAGGATCATTGAGGACTTGTGTCTGTCCTGTGCCACTTTCACAACAGTGCCCAGTGAAACCGGCCCCTTCCGACCAAGGACAGCACAGTCAGGCTCCCCAAGTGCCCGTGGGCAGGGCTGGTTTGCCAGTTGGGGACTCCTTCAGTCTAGCCTAAATGTGCCCATTTTCTCCCCCTGGCAGGGATCCATCAGTGAACCAGGCTTGGGGCTTCTCTCTTGGTGGACTAGCAGTTAGTGCCAGTCAGAAGATGCTCCCTGTGCCAGCAGCCTAGGCCAGGGAGACTGAGGCACAAGCCTGGGAGTGCTAGAGGGGCTGGGCTGCTGGCCTCAGCCTCCCTGGGAGCCCTCCGGCCTCCTCGGTCGGAGAGAGTCCTCCCTCTATCCTCCATCCCCAGCCCTGAGCCAAGGACCCAGAGCAGAGAGCCACTGCTGGTGGCTTCACACAGCATCCTCTTTGCCCCCGTGTGGACTGGTTCCATCTACAGGAAAGAATGAAGGTCCTGGGTCTGACTGGGCTCTTACTTGCTGACTCTGTGACCTTGGGAACGTCCCTTCCTGTCTCATGAGCCGCCTGCTCGGAATCACCTGGTCCTGCCCCCAGTCAGTTGCCAGCAGTGAAGCCCAGTGACCTGTCCTGGCAGCTGCTGCCTTCTACCCCTGGGGATGTTGTTGGGTGAGCTCTGAGGCATTCTGACTGGTCAGTCACCAAGCCAGAGCTGGGCTCTATTTACAAACGCACAGTGGCAGCGACGTCCGTCCCCGCCGGGAGCACCACGCAAGGTTTCGCACCGGCTTCCTGAGCTGCAGGAGCCGGGCCACACTTAAGGCGTGGGCAGACCCCCCCCCCCCCCCCGAAAAATAAAAAAGCTGTTACTGGCAAAAAGCAGGCTCGCATCTTCCTTGGGAGTGGCAGATGCTGAGGCCCTTTTTTGGGATGTTTTGGGATCGAGCTGGCGTTGCCAAGTTAAAGGTTGGGCAGAGGGCCTTTGTTGGTGGCCTGGATGCAAATGAACAAGTGCTCCCTGTCTGACCCGCTTGGACTAGTCATAGGAGGTGGGGGCACGGGACAGAGCAAAGCTACGTGGCCTGTCCAGGGACTGAAGGTCTGCCTTGGCTTCTCACAGGCCCCAGGGTGGCCAGGCCAGGCAGGCTGGACCAGGAGCCAGAGGGCCCTCAGGCTCAGTAGCCGACACGGGCCAGGCCCAGTTAAATCTTCCCCCATGGAGGGAGGCTCGCTGGCTGGCCAGGGGACGGCCTGACTGGGTGTCCTCAGTGAGTCTGCAGTAGAAGGGGGAGAAGGCCTGCATGCCCTCACCTGAGCTCCAGTCCCATATCCCTAACTGCCTAGGGGCCATTTCAAAATGGACATGCTGGAGCCATGACAAAGTTGGCCCACCCAAGCCTGTTCCAAGCTCCCCTTTCTGCCAAAGGCCTCAGCAACTCATTCTCTCACTCTCCATAGCTGATGAGTTTCCAGATCTCGTCACTTGGGTCTCCCCATCTCCAGCATCCAGCCCTACTCACTCAGCTGGTGACCCTTGCCCTGAGCATTCATCTTCCAGAGCTGCCAGGCTCAGGTCGGAGCATAGCTCCTTTCCTCTTCTCACACCCTAATGGCTCCCTGTTACCTCTGGTAATAGACTCTTGCCTAGCTTTGAAAGGCCTTCCCAACCTGGCCCCTACCTGCTTTCCAGCCCCTGGCAACATTCCCCAGTTCACTCCCCAGTCTAGCCTGCTGCATCTCCAGGCCTGCCTCAGGCTCAGGATTCTTTATGTCCTCTAACTGCCCCTGCTGCCCCTTCCCAAGCTTACCCAGAGAGCCCTGCTTCCCCCATGTGTCACTTGTCTCTATCCTATGTGTTTGGCACATGGTAGGTGCTTCCTAAACTCTCACTGACCCCACTATGGTGAGCTCAGCATCCACGTGCCAGTGCCCAGGGGTCGGTGGGTGGCTCTGAGGGCTGGGGCCAGCAGAACAACTGGGGTGACTCTGGGAGAGGAGGCCAACCTGGGCATAATGGGAAGGATGAACGTGAATACCAACGGTGCTGGCATGGCCAGGCTACTTTGGGGGCTGGGTGGGAAATAAGCACATATGAGACCCCAGGGAGTAGTGGATGCCATGCTGGGCTGAGCATACTTCCTGTGTGTCTGTGGGCCCGAGTTTGCTCATTGGACCTGATTTAATGTGTGATGTTCCTTGTAGCTCTACCATTGTCCCCTGAAGACTTCTGGTGAGAAACGTACGCGCGCGCGTGTGTGCGTGTGTGCGTGTGTGTCTGTGTCTGTGTGTCTGTGTCAGCCTGAAGGGAAGGCAGGCAGGTGAGGGCAGGGGCTGGTCCCTGGCGTGGCTGGCCCTGCTCCAGACCAGAATCACTAAGGGGACCCAAACACGCCCTGGACAAGGAAGCAGTCCCTCAACTGGAAGAACAAAAAAAAGATTTTCTTTCTTTTAAAACCTCCAGCCACCAGTGAAATGATCAGGGAAGAAAGACTTCTTCAGATGGAGTCTGATGACCCAAAGTAAATACAGTCAGCATCCTGGCCCAGGGGCCAGAGTGTGGGGACCGCAACGCTCGCGCAGGAGGGGGCTCTGATGACCGCGTTTCTGACGACACACATGGCAGATGGAAGCGCTCCTCTGTAAATGATGCCAGAGCTAAGTCCGGGGCAGGGGGGAGCGGGGTGGAGGGGGGGGGGCAGGGCCTCACTGCTGCAGCTCCTTCATCCGGTTCAGGGCGCTGCCTGCCTGGAACCACTCTATCTGCGTCTCGTTGAAGGTGTGGTTCAGGAGGATCCTTTCCTGGTTCCCGTTGGGGTGCTTGATGATGCACGTCAGCGGCTGCAGGGAGCAAAGCATGAGAGCCTCCCTGCACCTGCTCCCACCCCGGGCCCCGGGACCCGGGCCGGGCAGGGCCCAGCTGTGGCCTTCTGAGCCTCCACTGTCCAGGGGCTGGCCAGGGCTCCCGGGGCCCCCCACCCATGTGAGAGGAAAGGGCTGCCGGACATCTGGGTTCTCATCCCAGCTCTGCTTCTAAGCTGACCATAAGGCAGTCACTGGCCTTCTCTGGGCCTCAGTCTCCTCCCCTGAAAAATGGGCTGGTTTCTGGGGCCCCTCCAGGGTAGGGACTCACAGCCCTCGGCCCCATCAGCCTGTTACCTTGCCAGGAGCAAAGTCTTTCAGTCCCTGGACGGTCAGTTTGTCCACAGGGTGGATCTTGTTATAGTCGTCGGGGTCAGCAAAGGTCAGAGGCAGCAGACCTTGTTTCTTCAAGTTGGTTTCTAGAAGTCAGAGGATGAGGGACCCTTCAGCGCTGCGGCCCCAGAGGCCTCGAGCTTCTGGCTGCTTCCCAGCAGAGAGCCAGGGCAGGGAGAGGGGTGCTGCTAGACAGGTGGTGCTAGCAAGGAGCTAGAGCAGTCAGAGACATCCACAGGCCAATGGGGACACTGAGGCCGGGAGGAGGGTGGGGGGGAGGATAACACATTCTAGCTTGGCTCAGAGGGAAGAGAGGACCAGGGGTGACTTGCACTGCTCCCAGCAGAGGGCACGCCATGTCTGCTGAGGCTTCTCCCCTGGTCCAGGCATTGGGACCCAGGGCAAGAGGGATGGTGAGTGTGGCCCCCAGGGGCTGACTCTGGCTGCATGGTGGGGGGATGACGCCTCCCAGCAGGCCTCCCAGCCTACCGTGGATCCTGGCGAAGCTCTTGGTGATGATGGCTCGGCACCCCAGATGCCGGGGTTCCAGGGCCGCGTGCTCCCGGCTGGACCCTTCCCCATAGTTTTCATCTCCGATCACCACCCACTTGATGCCATTTTTCTGTTTGAGGGGAGCGGGTGTGGGTTGGGAGGGGCCAGGAGCCAAAGCTGCTCCCAGCCCTGACCTTGAGCTTCGGCAGTACAGGTTGAGAACCTGAGAGATCCTAAGGGACCCCGGGTCCCGAGGCTCCAAACCAGGGGCCCCGGCAGCCTGCTCTCCTGGTGTGAGGGAGGCAGGGCGCTAGGGCCAGCCCAGCAGAGAAGCCAGCTGGCTTTTGTGCTGGACTGAGTGGCTGGGCCACAGTTCCTGGGCTTGCATCCTGGCTCTGCCATTTACGAGTGACCTTTGTGACTCTGGAAAGTCCTTTCCCTTCCTCTGCCTCAGTTTAAAGAGGCAGCTACCCAGAGGACCTTGCTCTTCCTGCCCGGAGGGACAGAACAGCTTCCCTCCACGCCTTCACGAGCCCTCGGATGGATGGGAGTGGGGCAGGCGTCAGAGGGACTTCCATCTAGTCCTAGCCCTCAACTGACAGAGGAGGAAACTGAGGGGACGTGACTTGTCCACAGTCACACATGCAGGGACAGAATTCCAATCCAGTGCTCCTCCTACTCCTCCTCAGGCTCCTGCCTCCCACCTGCCGGGCCCCAGACCCAAAGCTGCATCCTCCCCAGGATGCTACTTCTCAAAACGCCCGCCCAGGGGCCTGGCTTCCAGCCCGTCCACCTGGTGCTCTTGCCCGATCCCGGTCCGCAGCGTGGCCAGAATACCCCGGGAGGCCCAGGTGACCAAGGTCACCTGGCTGCAGAGGACGGGCAAGGGCAGCTGAGCCCAGGGGTCTGACCGTCCTCTGGAGGGCAGGCAGGAGGCGTGCAGAGGCCGCTGCCAATCTTCCGGCGCCCTCACTCTGGCTTCTCATTCCACAGGCCCAAACCTTCCTTTTCCAAATCTCTCCTGAAATGTGTCCTTGTCAACCTTTCATGGACACCACCTCTCCTTGTGCACTCCCTGGGCTTCCCCGTCCCCACCCCCTGGCGTGTTCTCTGCTCTGAGGAGCTGAGACACCCGGTCCTCAGCCCTGCCCCGCATGGCGTCGCCTGGCCTACCTTGTAATGGCGGGCCGTGTCTGGAACCGGCCCAAACTCCTGGGTCACGACGTTTCTCACTGAATTGGCTTTCCCATTTTCTACGTTGATGGCGCCGATCAGCAGGTTGTTGGAAATGTTGTCCAAGTGGCCCCGGAACTTGAGCCAGGGGCCGGCGGCAGAGATGTGGTCAGTGGTGCACTTCCCCTTGACCTGGGTGGGGGCAGGAAGAGCAGAACTCAGATGCCCACACTCGGGTGAGGTGCCCAGAGTGAGGCGGGATGGGGAGAGTTACCCAGGGTCCCAGAACAATTCCTGGAGGCTGGGTTTCTAACAGGGTTACTCAGGGAGGGCAGGGACGTGTGGGGGAACATCAGCGGCCGGCCAGGTGCCCATGACTGTGCCAGCCTCAGGGGTGGAGGACAAAGACTGGACACTGCCCCGACCCCATGGGACTTATGATTTACCTCACAAGGACACACAATACATACATGGGCGACCAAAACGGAGAAAACACATAGGCCAAGGACATTTAGGAGGAACAACCAGCTTTGGGGGCCTGGGGGGGGGGGTGTCATTAATTACTGCCTTAATTGGGGGAGGGGGCTTTGGGGAGGAGATAGGTGGGAATTCAGCAAAGAGGAAGACCAACCAGGTGGAGGGAGACCAGGGAGGAGAAAGCACAGAGCACACTGGGGGCAGTGGAGGGCACAGAGCAAGAGCCCAGAGGACCATCCTGGTCAGGCCAACGATTTGACTTGTGGCCAGCGAAGTGACCAGATCGAGCCACGAGGTACCTGGGGGAGGAGGGTGAGCTGCCTGCGGGCAGGCCTGGCAGACAGGAAGCCAGCCTGCCAGCAGCTCTGGGAAGGGTCTGCATGCACTAGGGTACAGGCACACAGTAGGTAGGCATCGGGAGGAGAGGTGAAGGAGACCCAACTAAACCAGAAGCCTGGCGACCAGTGGTACTAAGGTTACAGAAAGTGCCAAAGGCCAATGTCCACCTAAG